ATACATAAGAAGGAGAAATTATATTGATTTCTAAATAAATTTTTATGTACATTTGATTTAACTTCTACTTATAAGAAACAAATCCAAAATGTAATCAAAATAAACATAAATTGTGCCCATCCTTTTCATCCAGAATAGCTAATATATGGTTAGCTACACAACCAATCCATGACATCATATTTGAAGTGAAATATAAGGCATGACCATTAAGTAAGACATGAAAAAACAAAGGTATTTTGTGCACATTTAAAAAGCTGAAGAATGTTTTGAAGTTGCTCAAGGTCTAAACAATAAGTTTTGCGAGATAATTTTTCTGATTTTTGTATTTTTCATATTTAGACAATTCATAACATACAATGCTTCTAAAGAACATCCCAGTTCTTTATTTTGAAGGAATTTAAAGCCTTTCATTCTTTAGTGCCATTTTTAAATCTCATTTAACTAAAAGATAATTTCTTAGAAAAAGTTGGTAAAATTGCATTAAATTTTATACCTGATAAACAATTTTAAATATGACTTTTGTGGAATACAACATTCATTTTTTAAAATTTAACAGAATTAAGTTATATTAATTGTAAAGTTTAGTTCTTGTTTTTATCTTAATCAGGTGAATAAAAAAGTCATTTATGTATAAATATAGTTTCATTATATTTTTATTATTGCTTAACTGTATTGAAATAATGATAAAATAATTTTTGTAATCTTTTTAACATTATAGGTCATACTAATGTTTCGTTTTCCTATGTGTGTAAGGTAATTATGACATTTTAGATTTGATTGTTTCCATCATTTTCTAAAATTTGTTTTAGAGCATATGAAAAATTAAGCACATAAAATTTTTTTAAGTATGTAATAATATATAAAGGTAATTATTCTTTTTAAGTACAAGGATACCTCATTTAGTATGGGTAACTGATTCTTTGAAAGTACAGCTTTAAGTGAAGCATTTCTGTAAGAAATTAAATAATTCATTCCTATCAAATTTTGTTAAAATAAAATTATTTGTATATTTGCCTAAAATTAATGAAAAACAAAGAGTGGAAAGAGTAAAAATAACTGAACACTTTTATTGCTTAATATTTATGTAATGAAAAAGGAAATTATTTTTTTTACTCAAAAATCACCCAAAGTTTTTTTGCAATGATTTTCTTTTTTCTTTGTACATAATGTGATAACACAGAATATTATTTTCTAATTTTTCCTTGTTTCAAAGCTCCTGCTTTTGAATAATTTTCTTTTATCCCTGTGCTCTTCTAATGGCAGTGAATAATTCTTCAAGATAATTCAATAAGAAGTTTTTTTTTCTGTTTGTACATTTTCCACAATTTCTCTTTTTTTTCTGCTGAGAGATTTCCATCAAAAATTTATCACAATTTGTAACATATTTTTGTTACTTACTCAATATAAATAGTTTAAGAAATCATATATTATTAAAAACAGTTTTTTTAAAAAAGTAAATCATAAGGCAAGAATAACTGATGTGCACACATGTTGCTATTGTAAGAACTGAAGGTAAGTTATCTCTTTTTCCTGTAGACTATATCTGTCAGGAGCTGCTTTCTCAGCCATCATGTTTGTATGTATGCTAATAATCATGTCTGGCCTTGACCAATTTTTTAATAATTTAGTGGAAATATTTTGTCTTAAAATCTTTCTGTACTACGTAATAGAGAATCAATCTGTGTTACAAAAACATTTATAACTCAAACTACTAACCATACTATAGTGTTTACACATTGAACAAGGCATTCCTGCACTTAAATATATTAAATTATTCAGTATATAATTGAATTATTATAAATTAATATTTCCAGACAGATTTTCTGCTTTTTATTGGATATAAAAAGATATAATATATATATTTAAATTTCTAACGGGCTGCGGATTTGTGTCTTACCATTTCAGACCTAGTATATTCTCCCGGAAGCTGGTATCTTTTTTAGTGTGGCACCCTATAGGCAGATATTAATCACTTCTGGTAATTTTGATGCCCAGTTTCCTCCTTAGAGATAGGCACCTGACGATACTGCAAACCTGTACTGGGATTTAATTTTTCCGAGAGCACCCAAGACAAATAGACACTTTAGGGATCTTTTACATGCCGTTTAATCATACGACATGGCCGCTGTCAATTTTCTCCATCATGAAAATCCACTGACTTGGACCGAGGTCGAACCTGCACCTTTAGGTGCAGAAAGCCAGTGACAAACCAACCACGCCATCCAGCCGGCCTAAAAAAAAAAATTTTTTTTAGAATGTATATAGCATGTATTAATGCCAAACTATGCTTGATTTATGTTATAAAAATTTTCATTAATGACTTAAACTGTCTGATATTGCTTATATTTCTAATTTGAAATCAGTATGAGAGTTGTAAGTAACTTTCCTTTTTTCATAAAGAATTCACTATTAAACATTAATTATTAGTTATATGAACTTATTTGTATTATGTATTCATATTAATATAATTCAAACCAGATGCTATGAAAAGTATTTATTCTTTGCTTTATATAAGTTTATAACTAAAATTGTCAAATTGCTGAAGTTAAAATTATTACCTGAGTAAATTTGTAGACATAAATTACTTGTGTGAAGAAATATATATATATATTATGTTTTCTATTTTTTTTAGACAAAACTTAAAAGGCTGCTCTTGTTTATTATGTTGAAATTGCCTCTTAGTTTTGATGTTTATTAAAAATTCTTAATATGTGCTAAATTTAACATGTTTCTTAAATTTAAAATCTAGGATTGTAATTGTGAAGAAAATTTTATTTTTAATCTGTACTTCATTTTAAATTTTAAAAGAAAACTTTCTGAAAATACTTTTGGAAACTTTTTTTTTCAATAGAAATTAAAGAAAAAATCAAAAGATTTTTTCAGTAATATTTTATATTAATAAAATGGAGGGGATCCATTCGGTTCAAATTGTGTTATAGATAATTAAATTTTTAAATGAATATAACATTATTAATATTCAGAAGCATCATATAGAAGAAGGCTGAAAGGGAAAAAAAGACTACTCAAATAATTATTTTTCTCATTTCAATTATTATTATGATTAATTTCTCATGTTATGAATTTCTTATTTAAATTATTATTAATTTATTTACACATTGTTGAAGTTATTAGGATATGTGTATATCAACATCATTAGGATATCTATATGTACATCAATGTGACCACCGCGTACTTTCAATGCCGATGTTAAATAACCAATCACAGAAGGCAGGAGGCAGCACAGTGTAGTTGAGCATATATAATGGTGTGTGAGGACTTAGTAAAACATTGCAATCATTGGCATTATGCAGAAATGATGCGATTTATCCAACGTCCAAAAGGGCATGATCATTGGCTTTTAAGCCAAGGGTGGAAGCATTTTTGAAATGGCTAAGTTTGTTAACTGTTTGCATGCCACCATAGTAAAAATATATCGTGCATGGCGAAATGGGACTGTCCAAAATCTGCAATGCGGCAAATGTGGTGAACCAAATGCCATAGATGACAGAGGTGAACGATGGCTGCAGAAATGCATCCAGGCGAATGGACATGCTACCATTGAGCAACTGACTGCCCAGATGGTCCAAGGGGTTATCAACAGTGTCTCTCAAACTACTTTTCGGTGAATTTTTCTGCACCTGGGCAAATACCTGCTTCATGCACTTATGCTGACTGCTGTTCATCGACAACCAAGGCTGTAATTTGCATGCCAGTACTGCAACTGGGCATCCACTGAGGGATGACAGGTAGTGTTTTCTGCTGAATCATGTTTTATGCTCCATCGGACATTGGCGTATGCAGCATGAACTCTCTGAAAGCAAACACCCTGCAACCATTGTCAGAATAGTTCTGGTTGGAGGCAGATGAATGGTCTGGAGAAAGTTTTCCTGGCAATCTCTTGGTTCACTCATCATTGTGGAAGGCATGATGGATCAATTTAAGTACACATCTGTCCTTGCGGACCATGTCCACCCCTATATGTGCATTGTATTTCCTCAGGATGAGGGCATCTACCAGCAGGACAATGTGAAATGTCATACAGCTAGCAGCTTACATGCTTGGTTTGAAGAGCACCAGGATCAGTTTACCTTTCTCCCCTGGTCAGCAAACTCGCCTGACTTAAACTCAATTGAAAAGCTGTGGGACCATCTCGATCGAGTTGTTCTCACCATGGATCCTCACCCTCGTAATCTACTGCAGCTGGGCATGGCTTAACATCCCAGTGAACATCTTCAGGAACCTAATTGACTCTCTTCCAGCATGTCCTATGGCAATCTGCTCTGCAAAAGAGGATTATTCTTGCTTTTGACAGGTGGTCACATTAATGTGAATGGATTCTGTATAAAAAAAAAACTTTTTAATTCAAGCCAAAAGTGGGGAAATGTCTTGCATTTCTGTACTTTACAAATAAGGCTGTATTTTATCAAGCTTAATTCTGTGTGATATGCATTTAATGAACAATACATATAGTTCCATTTTTTTTAAGAATATTCCCTGAAATAACATAAATAATAAATATAAGTTTTATGTGATTTCATTCTAATTCTGTATTGGAGTAATCTCTATGTTCAAGAATAACTGTTTCATCATGGCTAATTTTATTAGACTTGCTTTGTAAGAAGTTTTTTTTTATTAAGTTTTTTAAATGTTACTGTGGTTTATTTGTTTCTAATTTTATTTTTAATTGATTACCTACTGTTAACCTTTTATATTATCAGTTTCAATGTAAAGCATTTGTTATTTTTCAATTCCTATTTTTAGTTCACACTGATATGTTTTATATATATATATGGTGTTCAAATTTTCAATCATTATTAAAATACTTTTTATTCATCCACTCAAGTTCAAACACATTTTTTTAAACTTTTAGTGGATGACACTTAATGTTAATACAGTTTTTTCAAATATAAATTCATTAATTCTATTTAATTAATGAATATATTGTAACAAACAAAAATAATAGCCTAACACCATGTATAAAAAGTAAAATCGCTCGTTGTGTCCCTGTAGCGCAATAAGTAGTGCGTTGAACCTCTAATTCAAAGGTCATGGGTTCGAATTCCACCTGAGATGGCTTAATTTCTGAGAATGTGATTTCTTTTTGCAATACTATTTTATTGGAATAATTAAATTTAATTAATGAATAAATAGTAATAGACAAAAATAATAGTCCAACATCATATATAGAAAGGAAAATGGAAAAAATTTTGCAATGAAAATTGTTTTTGATTAATAAAAAGTAACTAAAGTAAAAAATTTCTTTGTTGATCTAAGTAGGAATTGACTTTAAAAAAAATTTTATACAAAATATTAATTGTTATTATGGTTTGCTGTTTGTGTATTTGAAATTTTAAGATATACAGCAGCTACAAAAAATTATGATTTTTTTTAATATCTTATTTTTAGATATATAAAAAGCTAGGAGAGCTGAATTTAGAGAAATGTGTTGAACTTGGTCTCCCAGTGTAAGTATATATATCATTTAAATTTTGATGATTAATTAATGAGTTGTTATTGCATTATTTTTTTTAATTTCAGGGGTCCTCATCTCTTAAAGTTAAAGAATGGTGAAAATGTGACTTTGCCATCTGGTAGAACTGTAAGAAATTTATATTTATTAGATTAATTCTAATTTATATTACTCAATTCTATTTTTTACTTGAGAAATTATAAAACTTTATAAACTCTAAATGATTTAGTTGTTCTTTTAAATTTTACTCTCTTTGAGAGAGTGTTTAAGAAGAACAATGTATAAATACCTTTTAAACCCCTTCAACATATTCCCCTTCCCTATCAGTACATAGCTACATATGAGTTTCTCACCATTCAAAGTAGTGCTGCGGCTCATTAGGTGCCACCATTTTCAGTAAGTATGGTGTTTTTTACCCTCACCTCTCCTACAGACTGAAAATGTGTTCCCATCAATGCATTTTTCACTTTTAAGTAACAGGTAAAAGTTGTACGGTGCGAGATCTGGTGATTATGGTGGATGCTCGAGCACAGTAATGTGTTTGTCCGCCAAGAACTGTTTTACAGAGAGTTCACTGTATACCGAGGCGTTGTCTTGGTGCGAAATATACATGTTGTGTTGCTCTGCAGATCTTGCCTTTTCTTCCTCACTCTTTCTCTAAAGTTTCTCAGGACCTCAATTTAGTACAGCTGTTTTACCAATTGACTTTGAGGTACCCATTCAATTATGATGATGCCATTAATATCGAACAAAAATAATAAGTATCACCCGTTCTTGATGTCATGATTCCGATAATAATGTTCATCATCTTCAGCGACCTCCTAACCTACCAAAAATCATTTGTGCCTTTCAAAAATCTGACTATGTGATGTGCAATTATCTCCAAACACTCCTCTAACAATTAAAAAAAAATTTTTTTTTTAATTTCACGAGGAATTTTAGAATTTCTGCATAGCTTGATTTTTATATTTATCATGATTGTGGCACTTCAATACAACAACATCTTTCTCAAACAAGGATAAAAAACAAACTGAACTAGATAGAGGGATGGATTAACATGCCCCCAGCACAAGGAAGATGAACTATATTCCATACCTTTTCCTTCACACCAAGCCTAACGGCTAGGGCATGCCCAGTCCAGTAATTTAATTGTCACACCTTGTATATACAATCATTCTTGCTATTCAAATTTTACACATATTTATGAATTTCATAATGCTTATTTTTAAAATCTTAATCTCCCAAATATTAATTTATATTTGATTAAGTGACTACACACACCACACCACACATTGCTGAATCCAGAGACTGCCAACTAATATTACCTATTTAAAAAAAAACAAGAAATAACCATGTTGTTATGACTATTTATTTTTTGCATGAGGGGTAATTTTTATGATAACTTTTTCATTATGTATGAATGGCTGTTCTCTGATAACAAAAATCGTTATGAAAAGAGGTATCAGGATGAAGTGGGAAGTCTTTTGATTTTGAAAAGATAATTTTGTCTCTTCCATTAAATTAACTAACCAGTATAATTAGTATGAGTTCCAATTAGAGTTTCATCTATTCTTAAAAGTGTGGGAAGCTAGTTTTTAAGTTTCTGTACATTTTAGACAGCTCAGAAAAGTAGTTTGGATTTTTTCTTAGGACTAACATATCAAGTGACTAACAAATTTAATCTCAGCATGAAACAAAAAGCAATCACATGACAAATATCAAATATTAGCCGTTACCCACCTACTTCGCCGGGTACATGATGTTTTATAAATATATACTGTTTATATATATATATATATAAATTATTGATATCTTAGTCCTAGCACTAAGAATTCGATTATATTGAAAAATATACTTATACCTGTAACTCTTCACCTCTTGATAAAAAAAAAAGACAGAACTTCTAATTTGTATTTTCTAATAATCTCTAAAATTGAAGCATAAAATTATGTTTGCACTTTTGTAACCCTATTACCAAGTGGATTTCCACACTTTTGTGACTAATGAGTTTCAATTTAAAATAAAAATTATTTCCAGTTGGCATATGACTTGTTATACCTGACTTTTTTTTCATAAATTCAATTTATATCAACCTACACCTCTGAACATACCTATCATTTAAAAATACAGAAAATTGATAAAAGTGAGAAGAAATCCAAGAATTTTTTGTGTGCTTAATTAAATAATATAATCAATTTTTTGAAAAGATAAGTATGTCAGCCAAGAATTTTTTCACAGTGATGCTGCCTCTATCAGCAGTGATTTTAAACCATGCATCACTTCCTCTTATATGTCTTCAGATTAATGTAAATTATGCACATTTGGTTGAATATCTGGCCCATAACAATTTAAAAATTATTGAATTAACAATCCTCCTTTCCTTGTCATGCTATAACAAGTAATTTCTGCCCAAGTCTCATCATAGTCGTTTTCCAAAGCAGATATATGTTTCAACTGATAAAAGTTTTGCGGTTAATGAACCTCTCAAATAATGAAAACTGTGAATTTTACTCTAATGTCATTTTTATGAACAGTAGATACATACATACTTCTAAAAGAAAGCCAATTCATATATTTGTCACTAAGTGATTGAATATTTAAATGTGGTAATCTGATATACTCAATATTAAATTTAGTAAGAGTTTGATTTGTTCCCTGCTAATTGCTTGCTTAACACTGCATTGCACCTCTTTAAAATATTAGTATGGAAAGTTTGGATTTTTTTCACTTTTCATTCAAAAGGGTATTTTTAACAGAAATATCACTTATTGTTCTAGATAATCTTACATAATAATATATTAATAAATAAAAAAAGGGCAAATTTGTCCCCCCCCCCCTCGTCCAAAAAAATTCCTAGAGAAATCAAAAGATTTATTGGATGATTATTTGACATGAAAATTTTAAGATGTCCCAGAAAGTTTAATCCTAATCTGTATATGGACAATGCAAGGAAACAACATTGGAATAAATTATTTGCACATTTCATTTGCCTAATGTGAAATTCTGATTACAGATTTGAATTGCATGTTCTATATTTATGTGATTGTATGATATAAAGATAGAGGCTGAGACAAGCAATATGCCATCCGACCAATTTATCTACTTCCTATCGACAAGCTCTTTTTCTTGTGGATTCTGAGTCTGTGATCCTCACTCTCTTCACCCTATGCAATAGCAACTCAATAAAGGTGGAGGAGGTGAGAAAAAAATTCGTGAACTGAAAAGTGCTTATTGTACTATTGTCTTTCAATGGATTCCTTGCTATTGTGGCATCCCAGGCAACGAAAAGGCGGACTCTGGCAGAGCATGGCTGCTATCTCTTATACCCTTCTGGTGGCTTGTCATGTAGACAATCCTTTTCAAATATCTCCAGATCTGTGGGAAAATGTATTCACCAAATTCAAGAGGATGATGCTAGGGGAAAGATCTGGGAGACCCTGCTCCATAGTCCAGTCCCAATGGGTCTTCCTAGACAGGTTTTCTCTGTTGTTTTTTAGAACTTTGGTCAGTCATTACTTTCTTCAGCAACACCGAATTGGTGCGAAAGACACTCTGCCCTCTGTGTCTTGGAGAAGATGCTGTGAATTTTGTTCACCAAACAGTTTGTGCTTCCCTGACCAACCCAGGTTTTATCTTTTCTTCTGATAACTCTACTGCAAAGGCTGGTTTATATTAGGCTGCTCGCAGGAAATGGCCAATACCTATTCCTCTCTCTATATATATTATGTAGAGGAATATGTGATTTGTGAATCTGAACTGTTGTAGACTTATATTTCTGTTATTTATTTCCTGTTGAAAAATATCTACTGTGATTGCTTGAGAGTTCCAGAATAAATTAGAATTTACTCTAAACGGAATCTGCTTGATAATTACATGGACCTTTCTTTCATTTGAAAAATGATCATGTAGCAATATATATCCTCAAAAGTTTCTATCATACTCATCAAATTCCTTATATATTTGATCCAATCTAGATTATCTGTATTTTATTTCATGTCTTTAAGTCAATTTTTAAGAAAGAAATTGTTCGAGCATGCGCAGTGGGCACCGCCTGGCGGTGATAAAGTGTATTAAGAAAACGAGCGTTGAGTTTCTCAGGGAGAGTGAGCGGGAAATCGGACGAGCGAGAATTACGGTGCCCATCGCAGTGTTCCGACATACTCCCCGAGCAACAGAGAAAGAAGAGAAATAAAGATGTTTGTCACCAACGCAGTCTAATTATTGAGAGAGAGAGAAACACATAGGGACCACTAACCAACAGAAATCTAATTGCAAATTTAGTCCACCTGTACAATACACTGAATTTATTAACATCCATTCGAAATTTGGATAAATGCTCAAAAATATATATCAGTTATAAATTCAACTTATTTTGTGTGGTTCCTACTGAATTCCAGGAATCTATATATATAGTGTTACGAATTTTGCATAAAATAATGTAAATAATTTGTATTTGGATGTGCAATGCATTTATATTACTCTATGCTATATTTATTTCATGTTAAAATTGTAATATTCACAAGCAACGCCGTCCCTTACTTTATAATGACGATTCTCAATGGGAACTTGGCGAAATATTAGCGATAGAGCCAAGTTGGCATCA